ATTGAGCAGAATAGAAGGGAGTGTGATTCGATCGCTGAGGATCTTCGAAGATGATCTCAGCTTCGACACATCGCAGACAAGTCAAGGAGAGGGGAGTTTATTAACGGAAACAGAAGAAGTTAAAACCAGTGGACAGTGGAAGCTCACACTTGGGCCACAGCCTCTCGTCCTAACGGCTGACAATGCAACGACTCCAAGCTCTACGGCAAGCAGCTTGTTTCAACACCACAGATGCCCACCTGGTCGACTTTATTGTATCCCTGAAAGCAATTACTGTACTAAATGAACGAAGCAACGGCAAGAAACATTCCGTCCGACCAGATGGTACTCCCTTCCCGATGGCGCACAGATGAATACGACGCGTTTCGCTAAGTGACTCAAAAGCTATGAAAGAATTGAGGACCGGTAAGATTAATATTCTTTTCGCTGATAAAGACCCCTTATCTGCGCATGTCTCAGACTTGTTTACGATTACCTATGACTAACAATAAAACTCTTGTTCCAATGATCGCTTCTTCTTCTTCTGAAAAAACGAACAGCTGCTGTGTTGGACCAAAAAAGCTAATGCTCTGTTTGATGACGGACACCTCAATATAAAACGAAAAATACGCGGATCATTCTTTGTAATTAATCTTCCGCTCACCGGAATTAGGACGAGGTCCTACGTCGACAAGTATGCCCACCATAGCAGGACGGGCACACTGTGATTTTGTTTTCGACAATATAATCAACATTAGTATTCAGATAATTATCCCATCTGAGGCCGTTCATACGCATGAGCCAGAAATGCCCACGAGCTTCAAGGGATAAAGATGCTGGGTGAGAAGCAAGGAACACATGCATCGAACCTTAGAACACTACACCCCTTCCCTTGCTCTGGTAGAACTTTCTGGACTTATAGAAAGTAATCATGCATAATGAGGTGTCCTCTCAGTTGACTAAGACGATCTTAAAGTGATCGTTGAGTATCATAAACTTTTAGTTGAAGATATGGCCATCCTGCTTTCCGAATTCAAATTT